GTGACTGCGAGTGAAAATAATGCGATATACAGAAAGTTCTCATCAGTACAATATCATTCGCAATAGTGGATTGAGAGTGTTATTACTTCAATAAAAATTATACCTAATATGGACATTTATGCCAATCTACACGGCGAAAAGCTCAACAATTAGGCATATGTTCCTTATACAGAAATAACATCGATTTTAGAATAAGTTACGGTATGATTAACGCTTTAGCGTTTTTACCCTTTAGTGAAGTAATAGATGGAATGGTTTATTTATATACAACGACCCCTGTAGAATTGTTACCGTTACTAAAATATTTTGACGAAACTTATGTTAGTGGGAAGTCTGGGAGCCCAATATTTTCTCTGAACTTTGTGAATGTACTTTGCAAGACAAACTATACAACGAATGTGAGAACTTCTTAAATAAAGAAATTCAATTAGGACAATTTTTAAATAATATAGCAAAGTATACGAAATAATTATTATTAATCATAAACTATATTATATTATATTTACTGTACCTATATTTTATATTCATTTTACCTGCCTGCTACTTTGTATGTACTTTTTAGTGTTTTTTGGTAATTTTGATTGCTAACATATTTCTTTTTGTTTTAAGTATTATTTAAATTTAACTTGTTGACGATGGTGATTTATCAAAATTATATTATAAACATTGTAAATATTTTAGGACCCCTGAAAATTAAATTTTGAATAGTACCAGTTTTCCGCGTTTTTTATTTCTTTTGTTATAAATGGTATGGACCGTACCAGTATTCCGAGAATCATTATTGGCGATACCTTTCTTAGACCCTTTTGACTATTACGATTGAGAACGCTCAGTTTTTATTTTTCCGCGCAACGTTGCCAAACTTTGCCATATAAAAATCGGCTATGGCTATAGCCTATATAAATATACATGACTCTTAGCACTGCTCACACACTGTCTATGTGGCAGGAATAAACGTCTTTAAAACTCAATACTATTCAACAGGGTACTGTTCAAAAGGCATTAAAAGCAGATGAAGAAAAAATTTCAAAAACAATACAGTCTTATATTAACTACTGTCAAAAAAATCTTCTGAAGGATTAGTAAAATATTTAACACATCTGGCAAATGTATATAGGGGATTTACGTAAATTTTAAATTATTTTTAAATGTTTTTATTATTGGTAGGTACCAATAATAAAAATTTTTTTAAAAATTATGACATTTTTAAAATTTATAATTTTTAATTATTTTATTCTATGTTTTATTTCATTTTTATTTTGACTTGAATATAGTTCTTCAACGTTGCATTTAATTTCGTTCTCAAACTGTTTTATTGGGTCAGCGGTTATTTCATTGTTCCATTTCGAGTGATCTATATGGTACGCTAAAAAAGGTCGAACGTTCTCAATCGTATTACAGCCGCGAAAACAGTCACTCAAGAAGTTTCTTTTGCACAGGTGGCTAGTCTCTCAAACGTAAATCAAAAGGGTCAACTGACTCAAACTCATACACAACAAAACAAAAATGTACTATCGCTATATGACGTTATGGCAGCATTAACAAAATTAAATGAGAGATTGGATAGGCTTGAAAATAGCCAGCCGAAAACCAAAGCTCAAAAGAAAAAGAAATGAGTAGAATGCTTCGAATCATAACATGGAACGCTATCGGGCTTGCACAACGAAAACAAGAATTTGAACATCTTATGAATAACGAAAAAATTGACATAGCTTTAATTTCAGAAACCCACTTCACAACGTAGACCAATCTAAAATAACATCCAAGCAATCGTGCTCATGGAAGAACTGCAGTAATAATAAAAGAAACAATTAAACATTATGAACTTGATAAACATCCTCAAGAACATTTACGGACAACTAGTGTCCGTGTTAATGACGGTAACAACGATCTAACTATCTCTGCTATTTATTGTCCACCAAGACATAAAGTAGATGAAAAAAAGTTTATTGAATTCTTATAGACACTCGGTAGCAGATTCATTGCTGGAGGAGATTATAATGCCAAACACACTTTCTGGGGATCGAGATTGATTACCACCAAAGGGCGTGAATTGTTCGAATCAGCAAATACAATTAAAGCACAATTCATTTCAACTAGAAAACCAACATATTGGCCGACTGACCCAAATAAATTATCTGACCTTGTTGACTTCTACGTAATGAAAGGAATTCCATCAAATTATACGGAAGTTGAAGGACTATTAAAACTTACGTCAGATCACATTCCTGTGCTTCTCTCACTAAGCTCTGATGTGATAATGAAACAAAAAAAAATATTTATAACAAAAAAAAAACGAATTGGGACCTATTCAGAAATACCCCCGAAGAAAACATAATACTTTCAACTCGATTAAGAACAATAGCAGAAATTAATATTGCAGTAAAAAAAAAATAACCGACGACATTGTTAGTGCGGCGGAAATAGCAACTCCGGTAGCTATCAATAGTAATTACGAGTTAACTTACCCACTAGAAATAAGAAAACTAGTCCAACATAAACGTCGAGCGATATGAACATGGCATAGTACATGGAACCCAACAGATCAAACGGAATGGATTCGAGTTAGCAAAATTCTTCATGACAAAATCAAAGAAATACTTGAGTGGTCTCGCTGCGACGACTAATACCGATTATTCGTTATGGAAAGCCACGAGACTCATGAAGAGTCCCCGTGTTCAGTTACCACCCCTTCGTAAGGAAGACGGCACCAGGGCACGCTGCACGCAGCGAAAAAGAAAAAGCCGAAATATACGCTCGCCATCTTGAACATGTATTTATGCCAAACACTATTGACTCTGAGCTCGACATTTTCCAATGCCAGCCACTTAATGCAGCACAAAAAATCAAACATTTCTCGACGTAAGGAAATTACCAAAGAAATAGATGACAACTTAAACACAAAAAAATCAGCAGGCTATGATGAAATTAGCCCAAAAATACTGAAAGAACTTCTAAAGAAGGCTATCGTTCATCTTACACATATATACAACGCTATTTTGCGCACGGAATACATTCCAGACCAATGGAAACGGGCACAAGTTATCATATTGCTCAAACCAGGAAAACCACCTGAAAATGTCGCATCATACCGACCGATATCACTCCTTCCAAGTTTATCTAAACTTTTAGAGAAACTTTTGCTTAAACGTTTCAAACTGATTATAGAGGAAAAAAATCTTATACCAGAACATCAATTTGGATTTCGCAACAAACATTCAACAATCGATCAAGTACATCGAGTTACTAATGTAATAAGTAAAGCTCTTGAAGAAAAAAAGTACTGCTGTGTGGTATTCCTTGACGTAGCCCAGGCTTTTGACAATGTCTGGCACAAAGGATTCCTCATCAAACTGCGTGATCAGCTGCCACATACCTGGTGTGCACTTCTTGAATCATACTTGACCAACCGTCAATTTTGAGTCATACACGAAGAAGCGATAACCGAATGGAAAGATATATCAGCTGGAGTACCGCAAGGTAGTGTTTTAGGACCTATCCTGTACTTACTCTATACGGCTGATATACCAAACGATGATAACATAACATTAGCTATGTTTGCCGATGATACGCCAATTTTGACAACACGTAATAGTCAGCTCACTGCAACTGATAACTTACAGAGGTCAATTGACAATATCTTTACCTGGACAAGACGTTTGAAAATTCAGATCAATGGCGATAAATCGGTGCACGTTAACTATACGTTATGCAAAACCGAAAACATCCAAATAGTACTGAATCAATCACCAATCCGAAAAAAAAGCAAAATATCTTTCAATGCACCTTGACTCTCGTCTGAACTGGAAACACCACGTCGGACAACGTCTACTGTATGTAGCAATTATAAAACCAATCTGGATATATGGCATTCAATTGTGGGGTTGTACCAGTAAGTCAAACATCGATGTAATACAACGCTGTCAAAAAATTGCCCTTCAGACCATCACTGCAGCCTACCGGTTCGAGAGAAACAACGCAATTCACCGTGATATGATACTGCCTACAATAGCAGAAGAAATCCAAAGGTTTGCTCGCAAACACGAGACGAGGCTAGATCACTATGTCAATCCATTGACCATCCAACTATTAGATAACTCCAAGGACACCAGACGTCTTAAGTGTCTGAAACTATACGACCTAGTTTAAGATTTTAGATTAAGGCAGGAGGTACTTCATTGGAAGTGACTCCATTAACGTGTAATATATATACAATTTATATCTAGTATGTAAAATATATATAATTGTCAAACATATTTATAAAGACCTTTGGGTCATTTAAATAATAAAGCCCTAGGGCATTCAAAAAAAAAATAAATAAATAAATACATATCATAATGAATTATCTCGATGTAATGTTTGACTCTATAAAAACTGATGATTCAATATTTTTAAGAACTCTACTGTATTCTCGTTCGATCCAATTTTGAATATTGCCCATTGATTTGGATCAATAATATCTACATCTATGTAACACAAAGAAATCGAATCAGTACAAAATAATTCTTACATTCAAATTTAATAATATCAGACCCAAATAAACAGCTTTGATATTTATACACTTAATGCCTCCGGTGCTGGCAATTTATTAAGGAGCAAATAATTGGCAACCTAATTCACATAATATCGTTTCGACGTTCCATGATCTTGTAAGTGTGCAGTTTGTACTGTTTGTAGTAATTTAAACGGTTATTAATGTGAGTGGTGAGTATATATTATCCCGAGCACTTTGTTGCGCGTAAACTCATTTTGAGGGTAACTCGCTACAGTAATTTCAACTCAGCAACCTTTCCTAGGTAGGCAATGTGCGAAAATTCGATTTGATGCATGATTGTACCTGATCTATAAGCTTAACGAATGGCTCCCAGGATCCACTCAAACACACAAAAAGTGTCATCAAAATTGGTCCAGCCATTTAGGAATGCATATAGGACACATACACAGACAATTATTCATATAAACTGGACACACAAACAGACAATTATCCATATAAACTGGTCATGAAAAAGTTAGGCGTCCACAACCCAGCTGTGGGTTCCAGGGGCAAGGAGGCTGCCATCGCGGATTCTCTCTTTCCTGCGGCCCCCGTGACGAATTGGGACTTGGCTCCGTCTCCAGCGGTGCTCAATATTTTCCAGGCGTTTGACCAGGTCCGGAACTCCCTGGAGTTCACCCGTACCATCCCGGAGTTTACGCCAGCAGAACTCAGCAGAGCGCCAGAGCTATCAAGAGACTTACACCGGGTAAGTCGGCCGGACCTTCAGGAATCCCCAACGAGGTCCTCAGGGCTCTCGCGTCTACCCAGCATCGTGATGTTCTCAGGATACTGAACGTCTGCCTCGGCGCGCTGATATTTCCACCCCCCTGTAAAAGGACGGGGCTAGTGATGCTCCGCAAAGGCCCAGACAACTCCCCCGACACCCTGTCCAGTTACAGGCCAATCTGTATGCCACACACCCCCGGAAAGTTGCTCGAACGGCTTCTTCTTCGGATTCAGGAGGGGAGTCAGCACCGACTCGGCAGTCAGCAAAGTACTCAGTATCGCCGCTCAGGCAGCCACCACCCCAGGGAAAAAAGTCTTTGCGTACTAGTGACGTTGGACGTGAAAAATACGTTCAACTCATTGAGGTGTCCAGTCGTCGACGCCGCCCTGAGGAGCATAAACGTAAATAAGCACGTTCTCACTATTCTCATTCGTGATCACCGTGTTGTGCGCGTTGTGTCTGTGTAATTTCGTTATATTTTCATATTTTCTTATAAAACTAAATGTTTTAAATTCGAGTATGCAAGGTCGTAAAGAAAACATAATTTCAACAAGTGATAAAATGGAAAGTTTCAAAAAAAAAATTAATTTATGGTTATCATGCATAAAAAATGATGATTTTTCATGCTTTTCTTCAGTTGAAGAATCAAAAATCCATTTAAGCATAAATCAAAAAACGGAATTAAAAAATATAATGTACGAACATTTATTGACACTTTCTCGAAATTTAAAGAGTTATTTTCCATCACTTCTAACAACTGAAATACAGTGGGTAGTTTCATTATATGGTCCATGTGGAGAAGAAAATATAAAAAATGCAAACTTATCTTCTACGGAAAAAGAACAATTACTAGAAATATCATCAGATACCACGTTAAAATCTAAATTTTATATGTCTGAAAATGATTCATTTTGGATTTCTTTGCAAAACGAATACCCAGAAGTGAGCAAAAAAGCGTTGCAAATTTTGTTTCCTTTTTCAACATCATATATGTGTGAATCAGCATTTTCGATATTAGAAGTAACAAAAACCAAAAAAAAGTCAACGCTTAAAGATATTGAAAGTGAATTACGCGTAAGTTTGTCAACAATTCGCCCACGAATTGAAGACCTATGTTCAATTCACCAATCACAAGTATCGCACTAATTTCCATTATAAACTAACGCTGTTTTTATAATAATATTTTTTTAATACCTAATTTAAATTGTTTATATTTTAATAATGTAAATTTAAAAGATTTGTTTTTTTTTTCAAATAAAATGCTAACATGAACTTAAATGTATTAATTTACATAGATTTGTAATTTTTACTTTTTCAAAAATCCATAAAAAAAATTTTAAGTGTGTCGCCATTTTTATGGATCTAAATTAAGGTGTCGTCGTACAAAAAAGGTTGAGAACCACTGCTATAGAGTATATAATAATATAAAATATTGTTAAATAATTGACATTTAATTTCACAGTTCCAGATTTGTTTCAACTATTCTTAATTTAAAATGTATGTTTGAAACAATGATCATTTACAGTCATTTTGTAATATTTTGTTGTAAAAATTTTTTTTTTTAGATTATTAAATTTAATAGTGTTGGCAACTAGAAACGAAAAAAATAAAACTCCTGGACACAATCTAAAAGAATATACATAATATGAACATTTAGCTTAACCAATTCTTGAAGACATTTCAATTGTAATAAAATAAATAAGAATAAGAAAAGTACAAGAAAATTAATTTGCCATTTTAAATGTGTTAAGAAAAATTTAATTTTTCAAAATCAGTATCGTAGACGTTATAGGTTAAGAAAATGACACAGTACAAATTCAACAATAATAAACAATTAGGTTTTGTTGTGTTACTATGTGAACCCCAATAAACTGTGACCAATCATTAGTTTACATTTTAGTTGTTCATCACACAAGAACAAGACAAATTGTTATTGTTGTCTTTCTTTGTGTATAAGAATAGTAGCATTACGTCGATTTGTACTCAATATATTTATAAATACAATGTAGTTAGGGGGACAGAGTGGCCGAGTGGACTAAGGCGTCGGCTGCGACGCAACCAACCATTTTTCTTTGGACAAGTCACGGTGTCCGGAGAACAAGTGCCGCGATCCCCCACCCGCGCATGGCAGATACCTACGGGTGCCCAATCAACAATTCTGCCAAACATAACCCACACGTGTAAAAAAAACCCATCCATTACATAAATATTACCTACAATCATAAAACCCCACAATAAGCTAATGGCAATAGTCGCTGGCCTTTAAAGATCAACAAAAAAAAAAAAAGAAAAAAAGAAACAATGTAGTTAATATTAATAAAAGTACATCTATATTATAATAAAAAAAAAAAGAGAAGGCTATAGAATGTTTAGTGTTGGAAATGATACATTTAGAATTTTCTTAATCACTTACAGAAGTGAAAAATGTATTGAAGATTGTTACTATTTTAGTACGGTAATCAAATAAATGCATGATCTTCTCTCTGCCAACTATAACTATTTTCTGGTCATCGCTTTGGCTTGTGCTCGGACACGTCTGTAATATTCTTCACGATTTTTACTAAAAAAAAGTTATTAGTAATAAACATAGTTAAAATTTTTTTAAAACATATTTTATATTAAAAAGTAATTACCAATAAATACGAGAGGCTTCATAATTAGCAGGATCGCTGATGTTTGGATCATTTAAAAGTTGTTGTATCCCAAACAATAACTGCTTAATAGTAATATCTGGATGCCAATCTTTTCCTTCGTCCAAAAGTGATAAGCAAACGGTACCTAGTAAATCATGAATAATCAGGATTAATATTTTCAAATTATATTATAGATATGAATAATTAATATAGCTTATATTATATTTACCAGAGATGGTAACATTGGGGTGGAATAATGCAGGCTCAAATTTGCATTTTGGTGGACTCGATGGATAATTTCCCATGAAAGTCATACGTAAGAAATACGATCCATTTTCCCAAGGAGTCTAAAAAAAAATATTAATATTAAAATTATTTAAAATGTAATAAATGAATACATATTTATACATACATACATCAGACATTATGAAACGGTGCGTCCGATTGGACGACCCGTGTCGTAAATAAAATAACAATTGTGTGCTCGATAATCAAGTTTTTCTATTGCTAGGTTAAATTATAATTTATATTTACAATGTTGGGACAAGTAAAGCGTCGATTTGTGCCGACCGGACTTAAATAAGTGAGTCGGCACAATCGGAGGCGCTTGGGTATTGTGGTCGGACAATTGTCGGACCCTATCTTCATAAGTGTTTTTATAACGATTTATATAAGTTATACAATATGATCGGCTAGGAAGCCGGCCGTCGTCGGTGCAGACTTAAGTCAAGCGGCACCCCGACGACGAACCAGACTTGGGTCGGATAACTTAATTAAGTGCCGAGGTTGGGGTCGTGGTGGCCCTGAAAAGGGCCATTTAATGTTGTCACGCCGTGAGTGGTCGGCCTATCCGGTGATCCCGTAGGCTTGGGTGGTTGAGTGGTGGTCGGGCGGCCTCGTCACGGCAAGAGTACACTGACACTGGTCTCTCCCCGTTGAGCGGCAGTCACGGGGTCGGTTGGTTCTGACGATGATGGCGTTGTTGATCGACCGATCTTTGCGCCCGTAGATAGGTGGTCGACGGGTCGTTATTGTTCGGCAGTTGAATGACGTTTACAGCCGTGGAGCGGCGTCGTTGTCGATATGCGTCGGTATGATGATATACGCAATCGGGAACGGCGGGAACGTCGGTGGTCTGCGGTCGAATGGCGCTGGTAGCCGTGGAGCGGCGTCGTTGTCGATATGCGTCGGTATGATGATATACGCAATCGGGAACGGCGAGAACGTCGGTGGTCTGCGGTCGAATGGCGCTGGTAGCCGTGGAGCGGCGTCGTTGTCGATATGCGTCGGTACGATGATGTACGCAATCGGGAACGGCGAGAACGTCGGTGGTCTGCGGTCGAATGGCGCTGGTAGCCGTGGAGCGGCGTTGTCGTCGGTCTTCGGCGGTCGATTTCTGGTCCTGGTCTTCTTGCTATCGGAACGATTCTTGGAGATGTTGATAGTTTGAAGGATTGAAGTGGACTGACTAGATTGTCGAGAGTGTCCGGTATTTATACCCTTTTCGACAATCTAGTCCATCGTTGATTGGTCCGCGTACTATGTTTTAGACGAATGAAAATCACACCGTTGAACGGACATTCCTATCTATCATGTGTGATTTTCACTCGTCATATCGTGTCCATTTTTCCAATCATCTTTATTTGGTGGTCTTGAAAAAGACCTTTTTCTGTGTCACGGTTGTTTGTTCCGTAACAGAACCCCCCCCAGATTTGTGCTGGGGTGGGAACCATTCAGCGCAAATTTTCATTTGTGCGGAACAAATGTGTCCGTGTCTGTGCTGCCTTGTATACTGCTGTTCTTAATTGGTTGTTACTCATATGCCATAACAACGTAGTCTCCTCCTCATTTCTACATCTTTTCTTCGGACGTTCGTGTGCGGCTAGTTGCTCTTTTATATAATCAACTGCCTGGGCAATGTTTATATTATCCTTTTCGAATGGAATATATTTGTGTAACGTGTGGCCTGTTACCATTCTCCAATCTATTGGCTGATTCCATTCTGCATGTTTTTCTTTCCTCGCATTGTCTACTTCGGTGATCCATTGAATTATTGATAAGTGTTTTTCTTTGTTTCTTTTTCGTTCAGCTTCCTCGTCAGTTGAAATTGCTTTCACCTGTCGGACTGATGCTAGTCCGTAGTCGTCGACCTTGTCGACCTTGAATGTCTGCTGCCTAGCTTCTGCCGCGGCTTTTCTTAAATGCTCGTATTTTCCTGTAGTCTTCATGTTGACTGCTTATTGATAAATGATGATTTGATTGCGACTTTGGTGATTTATATACTTTGTTTCGTGACGTTGTGTGTGTTTTGATTGGTCCATCCGACTGACCAATCCCATACGTGATATTTATTATTGTCAATTGTTTGGTCTGTAATACGGACGAATTTCAGCGATGTTTGTCAGCTGTTGTTTGTCCGTTGTCGGGTCTCGTATTACTAATGTATTCTGGCTTATTATTTTTACTACTTCGTACGGCCCGTTGAAAAGGTTGAACAGTTTCTTTATTTCCCCGTGTTCTGCATTTGATTGTTGGTGGTTTTTTATAAGTATCTGTTGTCCGACTTCGTATTTGTGTATTTTTAGATTTCTTTTCTTATTTTCCCTTTTTTCTGCTTTTGTTTTGATTCGGTCCGCGACCAGGCAGATAATATTTTTGTCCATGTCTGGCTGAAAGGGGTATGATATAATATTGTGTATTTGATAGGTTACTTTTTTCCCGAACATAACTTCGTACGGCGTTTCTTCTGTAATTTCGGACTTCATCTTATTCATCCACGCTTCCACCATTCCCAACATATTAGGCCATTTTGTGTGTTGATTGCTACAATACGTTCTCAGTATCCTTCCGATCTCTCTGTTATAACGCTCAACTGGATTTGACTGGGGGTGGTATATTGTTGAAAACGATACTGCTATGCCGAGTTCATTCATCTTGTCCCGCCACCTTTTGTTTGCGAATTGTGTGCCGTTGTCTGTTAAAATTGATTTGGGTTTTCCTATGATCTTTATGTAGTCGAGTTCAATTTTATTTATGATTGCTCTTGTCGTTGCTCTCTTTAGCGCGTATAATCGTATGTATTTCGAAAATGTGTCCAGGACTGCTAAAATATAGTGTACACCGCCCCTACCTGTTGGTAAGGGACCCATTAAGTCTACCGATATCCTTTCTAGTAGTTTCGTTGGTTTGTGTGCCATAATATTACCAGTCGCTTTAAAATTGAGTGGTTTGTTCTTCTGGCATTCGTCGCATGTCTTTACAATGTGTGCTATCGTTCTGTTCATGTTTTTGAATGTACATATGTTGTTAAGTATATGGTAGGTTTTAAATCTTCCCGGGTGACCCATAGTTGTATGTGTTTCCCGTATAACTTGTGCTTGAATTTGTTCTGGCATTATTACTCTCCATTGGTCCGTCAATTTAGTTCTAGTAAATGTTATTCCATCCTTTGTTGTTGTATATATTGATTGTTTGTTCCTTATTTTTTGCGTGTATTCGTCTGTTTCTTGTAGTTTTCCAATTATTCTCAGTTTGTCCACTAACTGTTTGCTGTATGTCATTTCTTTAATGGTATTGATTGATATTTTCTTGTCATTTCGTGTGTCATTTATTCTCGGATATCTTGTTAGTGTGTCGGCTGCTATGTTCAATCTGCCGGGAATGTATTCAATAACTAAATCATATTCCTGTAGTGCCAATGACCACCTGGTCAATCTTCCGCTGGTGAGTCTGCACTTTCGTATGAAAGTCAATGCGTGGTGGTCTGTTTGTGCGATTATTTTGTGTCCAATTATGTATTGTCTGAACTTCGCGCAACAATACACAATTGCCAGCGCCTCCTGCTCGGTAGTTGTGTAGCGTGTTTCAGCCGGTTTGAGGGTTCTGCTGGCGTACCCTAATGTGTGTCTTTCTCCATTAATGTTCTGAAATAATTCCCCACCAATTGCTGCTGTAGAAGCGTCGGTGTTTAAGTAAAACGGTTGTAAAAAATCGGGGAAAGATATTGTCACCTCTTGTAGGAATGCCGCTTTTGCATCTTCGAATGCCTTTTGATGATGGTCGTTCCACACCCACTTTTTATCCTTTCGTACTAATTCTATCATAGGTTCTATAATGTGTGCGAATTTGTCGATAAACCTTCTATAAAAGTTAATAAATCCGAGGAAGCTCTGTAGTTCCTTCTTATTGCTAGGCGCTTTGAAATCTTTTACTGTTTCGATTTTGCTCTCGTCCATTTTTACTCCTTGATTTGAAATTATATGGCCCAGGAATGTAGCTTCGCTCTTGAAAAATTGACATTTATCCAGATTAACCGTTACATTATGTTCCATAAATTTTGCTAGCACCGTGTGGATATGTTCGTAGTGTTCTTCCAGTGACGATGATGTTATTAGTATGTCATCGACATATATTGTGACGAATTCGTGTGTTAAGTATCCCAGCACACTGTCCATGGCCTTTTGAAACTCTGCTCCACTTATACATAGTCCAAATGGTAGACGTGTATACGAAAAATTTCTACCGTTGATTAAAAATGAGCACGGTGCTCTGCTCTCTTCAGCTAATGGCACCTGCCAATATCCCGACCGTAAATCCAATGTGCTAATGTATTTCACATTTCTAAATTTAGCCATAATCGAGTCAATTGTTAGTGGTCGTTCGCAATCCATGATGATTTGCTCATTTAATTTTCTCGCGTCCAGACATAATCTCACTTCCCCGTTTTTCTTAAATACTGGAACTATTGGGATTGAATATGGTGATCGTGACCGTTCGATTATTCCCATGCTTAACATTCTCTCCACTTCCCTGTTTACTGCTTCTTGTTTGGCAATGGGTATCGGGTATGGTTTCACACAAATTGGAGTGTCGTTTTTTAATTTTATTTTACATTGGTAATTCTTAATTTTCCCAGGTTCACTCCTGAACACAGTTGAGAATTTTTTTAAAATTTTGTCCAAATATTTTTGTTCCAAATGTGAGTGTATGTTGATTCTTCTTGGGTGAATAGGTTCTTTCGATATTCCCGTTTGTACCGTTTTTAGGTGCATTGGTGCACCGTTCCTTTTATTGATGAATGGGATCTTTAGTTCGTTTTGTTCAACAGTAATTGTTACCGTTTTTTCTCCGAAGTCTATTATTGCCTTGTGTGTTTCGAGGAAGTCGTTGCCCAAAATTCCTCCCTCATTTAACGTCGGAACCACGATGAATGGGGTTTGTATTACTGTTTTTTCGATCGATAGTGGAATTAACAGTTGTCTGTTGACCTTTATTGATTTGTCCCCGGTCGCATTGTGAATAGTCATGCCCGATA